TCGGATTTGAATTCTCAGTTGGGGCAAGTTACTTTTTCGCACTCGACGGTCTCTCTTCTCCAATTTAAAATTTATTTATATAGAGCCTATATTTATTACCGCAATACGGTTTAGAGTTAACAAGAGCATTCAGTAGAGAGCATATCTCCGCCCACCGAAAATCCCTTCAAAACAAATCTCCCAAAATATGTTCCTATTTGATTTCAACCACCACCAGTACTACCCCACCTCACCACGCTGCAGGCTCCTCTTCAAAAACGCACAGTAACTCGCCCAAACACTTTTTATTTCATAGAGGGGCACTATTTGCACTTTATAGGTTTTTTGGGACTCTTTTGTAGAGTGGCCATTTTCAGATTTTGTAGGCCTAATCCGAAATGGTTTTACCACTTAGCATTACACAAGCTCCGTTGAACATAGAATCTAAGCAACATTGAAACATTTCAACTACTGAAACTGTAGGCCTAAATAAAATGTGGCAACCCACTTACTTTACCACCACCTACTTAAAAAAAAATGCACTAACCGGCTAACCGGAAACGCCTCGGCCTTTTATTGTATCAGTTGTATACCTGCCAATTCCTTACTTCTTCTGGTCAATAACACATGAACATTTTACATTTATATTTGACAAAATAAATACATGCCAGGTATTGGTGTTGGAAAGGAAATATGTCGTCAATGGTTCTTAGCGTCACATGCTTAAATATTATAAAGATGCATTCAAAATATTCCAATCAGTTCCCAAAAACTAAAGTTAATGCATATATATATATATTTTTTTTTCTGTAAATCATGAAATATTATTCCATTATAAGTTTTAGTTTGCCCATATCAGATTATCGAGAAGTGCAAATAAATGCTACCCCACACGCGCAACTAGTGAAAAAATGTTCTACATTGCCGCAAACCAAATATTCTGTGCGCAGAAAGAATTGACATTTTGATGTCAGAAAAGAGAGAAGCAACCCTTACTGTTAAATATTCACATTGAGAAGACAGCCTTGTAACATATACAAAGACAAGTGCATTGTATCATATTATGTAGGCCTATGTATGTACAGTATTGTTTAATCTACAGTCTGTTCAAACAGTCTTGCAATGCTCTATATTCGATTATGGTCACATGACAATGAAAGGTCTACCACCAGGACCTTGAATTGAGTCTTCTATAAATTTATTTGATACCTCTGTAGAAATAGTGAAAATCAGAATAATATAAAATGGTGATCAACATCAGTTCGTCTGAACGAAGAGACATACCTACCCTCGGTTAGTTAATTAGTAACGTTAGCTAAGTATTAAGTGTGTTATAATCTACACAAAAATCCCTCATAGATTAGTTAGACGGCTTCGTTCAGATTGCTGCATTTATTCCGACCACACTGTTATTCATAATATAAAGAAAACAGCTGTTACAGAATCTAATTACGACCCGGTGACGCTGATGATTTCTTGTTTATTGAAGACATGTAAATTTTTCTCCTCATAAAATACCTGTTCGCACGATATGCCATTGTGGTTGATTCGGTAGGTGTGAACTCACTTCTCTGCAATTTGTGCTTATATTTTAGCGTCTTACATTTCTGCGTTCTGTTTAATTGGCGATAAAATGTTCTTTGAAAGCTGACAACTAGATATACAAAGCAACGTTCCAAATATTGATCTTATTAACCAAATGTATTATTCACAAACAGTATATCTTTTTATTAAGGTAATAGGATATTAAGGTAAAGAAGGAGGCATATTACTTAGGGACTGGGATTATAATATTATTGGTATTCATTATAATCAACAAATGCCATAGTCCGCCCTCACGTCACCAACGCTTATCACAGATAACTTTTAATTGTTTTCCCCTTCATCATCATTCAACAACTCGGATTTAACTTCATTTGAGGAAACAAAAATTATTTATTTAGATATCAAAGTAATACAACAGTTTATAGGGCTAAACGCCCATTGAATTTAACTACATTGCCTCCCCCTACCCCACCAAATATTATGTTTTTTAGTATTATATTTTGTTAATTGTTTATATCAACAGGGTTTAACAAACACCTGATATGTTTTAATCCTGAAATATGTTTGAAAAAAATCGCATAGGTCTACGTTATAAAATTTCAATATATATATGTTTGTGGAAGTGTACTAGGACAATTATTTTAATATATAATTTACATATTTCTCCCTAAGGAATATAAGTTTTGTATTCAGGATTCGTTAATTGTTCGCTTTTCCCCGTTGCTTATCATTAGTGCATAATTACTGAAAATGTTATGGCTTGGTGACGTAACGCTGCCATTTCAATATGTTATACTCCTTCACCTGTCGTTATTATACAATTTAAGTGGATTATCATATTATTATAATCTCGATTTTATAGATAATAATCTCATACCACTCATTGTGATTGACATAGCACATTAGTGCCAACAGATTATGTTAACAACAAACAGTTAATTCTGCAAATACTGCTTCCGTTTTTTTATATTGTCCACCATATACTAACACGACCCGCGCTTCCTTTGAAATTATAAATGTAATGGGATAGCGTATTTATTCCAATAAACGCCCCGCTTTGAATAAACGCCCCCTTGAATAAACACCCCTATAGAACCTTATTTGGAATAAATGCCCCGCTCGAATAAACGCCCTGACCCTTTCCGCCCCTCCCACTAAATAAATAAATAACTCTAATGGAAGCAACATAATTTTCAACACATTATATTAATGTCCTTTTCGTACTAATTACACTTTTCTAACCTGGTTGGGATTAATACCGGAGTTTTTATAATTACGCAATAACACATTTTGAGGGTAATTTTGTTTCAAATTTATAGTAAAATTATGGGCCGTTTATTTAAGTACATACTTATCCATTTTACACCAAAAATTAAAAAATAATAATAAAAGCTTCCCTCGAATAAACGCCCTCTCAAAACCCTTCTCGTGGTGGTTGTATGTAGTAGTATTAGTAGGCAATTGAAATACAGTAGCTCATGGTATAATATCGAACAAAAACACCAATAATAATTATACATTTTCAAACGAATAAGAAATACCTAACGACTTGAATAAATGACCGGGAGCAAAAGAATTTCGTTAAAACGAAGACATCATAAAATGGTGAATGAATTTCTAAATGGTGTGAAAAAAGAACGAGTGATTAAGCAAACAAATTAAACCTGTTTTATTGATGTTATGTAAAACTAATTGGCAATAGAAGTAGCAAACGAAACACTTGAGCGGTCGTTTTAATAATGACATTAAAGATTCTCGTCCCGCCGCGAGTGCTAATCGTCATGCGATTCGTCACCCTCCGAGATCACGGATCAAATCGGAACTAACAAATATCACACGAAATATGCATTTGAAACAAGCAACTCTTCCGACGGTCTATTAGACGCACAGCGATGCTTTACGTACTTAAAGACTCATTTCGAACGAAAACACGTTATTAAGAAGAGTGATTATTCTTGCATCATTGATTGCTTAATAACAACCATTTTATGAAGAAGATTCTGACAAAAACTCTCCCGGGACGTGAAATATCCGCAATATTGCTACACGTAGAAAGAGCGAGAGAAACCTCATTGCCAGTTAATGAGAGAAGCGGTGGAATCTTAACGAAGAGTTCAACGCGACAGCTTGTTGATAATCGATATAAAGTACGGCGATATGGATTAGATTCGTTTAAAGGTACATTATTTCATCCTCTTGATGGTTGTTATCGACTTGTTAACTATTATCTGAGAGAAGTCCACTAAACGTCTTGTTTGTTCGAACGACATGATGAAGTGCATCACAAGGTTCAATATCGCCATAACATCTAATATCGCAACACTTAAGATAATTTGGAATGATAACCACGTCGAGGAGAGAATAATAAAATGTATAATACTTAATTAGCCAGAATATAAAACAATACAATATATCAACAAGGAATTGAGAACAACTTAGAATAGGCATAGGAGTGTGTATATAAATAAATATCCATGCATATTGTCATATTTAGACAAGCTCGGTTTCCATACAATCGCTACACGTTATCGCCGACTGGTCGCTCCATGGAGGTATTTAATACCTCCATGGTCAGTCC